TCAAGCTAACCAACACTTTGTCTTGAAGACTTGCTACACTTTTAGCCCTTGTTTGAGCTCCATTCTTAAAAAGAATACATTTTTGAATAGTGTTTTAATGTGTGGTTGAAAAATAAGGAAAAGTTTTGGATTTACGTGTAATATTATTTTATTGAGGAATTTGTGGTTGAAATTATATCAAAACACTATTTTAGAATGTATTTTTTTCAAAAGAATGGAGCTCAAACGTGTTATTGTGCTTAGAAAAGGAGCTGAGACCACTTTAGGACAATGATCTTCATGACTTTCCTAGACAAGCTAATTTCTAAATATATGGTGGTATATTATTACATTTCAACCTGTTTTATGAAGTTTCAAATTAATTTAACTACATAAATAATTAAGCATGTAAATTAGAATATTCCAAGGTTGATGTGTAGATGGTATCAACGACTCGTGCTCACAGACAGTCAACAATCAGACTTTGCAACAGATGAGATGGTACACAAAGTACCTTCGACCACTGGTAAGTCAACATCTTGTGAGAAATGAATGAGAAAACACAAGATTGGACAATGGCACAGTGAATCGCAAAGATGATTGGCCTGCAAATTTAGATAAGGCGGCAATCTTTACACGTTAACTTTGTTTCATCTTCTCGTGCCTTCGATAGGCAGATATATAATTGAATATATACATTGAAATAGTTGAGGACTGTTGTTGGGAATCTACTTAATCATGCGCAGTAAAAATTAATATAGATTTCGATTCCCACCAGGAATCCCTCTATGTTTAGATAGAAAATTGTACATTTGAAAAATTCTGTAAACTTTTTTCTTTTCTTCTTGTTCTAGCAACTTCAATCTGTCACGATTGTCCAATTGTTTAGCCTCTAATGGTGATCCACACAGAGAACAAGATTGTAGGATTCAAGGTTTTCTTCTCTTGAATGAAAAATAAAAAAATAAAAAATAAAAAAATATGTATAGTCCAAACGGACTTGACCTGTTTCTTGATCCGATTCAATATTTAACTAACCAATTTAATTAAATTCAGTCCATTAATTAATTTATCCAATGCTTGTTAAATTAATTGGTTGACAAATCACAATCTTTCAGTTCTCTTTTGTGTGCGACCCATCAGGTTCCCAATTCGATACCTAACGACATAAAATATTATTTTGATTTAATCAAAATTAATAAATTAAAACACCCTTTTAATTTATCACCAATTCACGCTCGTCGCCCCAAATTGACGTCTAGCAATGTGTTAGGGCAATACATGTGACGGAAAATGTCACGTGATGTGACAAAACCAAATTTGTTTGTTTACTGTGAAACTATAATCCTTTTGTCAATATGATCCGATCAATTACAAGTATGGAAGTGTGTCAATATTGATTATCGATCATATCTTTCATACCACAATTTAGTCAATATAAGTGGAAAACTCATTTTCGACTTCTGAGTACACTGTGTTCAAGGATTTTGCTATCGACTTGATTGAATGAAAGACATATCATAATATCTTACTATCTAAGAGTGACGAATCCTCTATTGGTCATTCACAACCTTTATACGATTCTTGACATACCCAAGTAATGCCGTATTAGCGGCTCTTGGCAGAGCAACATTTAACACCGTCACAGCATGACTGTCCTCATATAAGGCACAATGACGACCTGAAGTCAAAGGACCAATCCCACTATGGAACATTAGAGATTAACTACTGACACTCAGATAGTTATCCATATAGAATCTCTCAGCGGGTTTTCAATATTTTGTTCTATAACCAAACATCCACGTATTCATTCAAGTATCACCACACTTTAACTTGTGAGATTAGCTACTTACTTCACAAGTAAGAAATGTCACATATTATGGTTTATTCGTAATAACGATATTCATATCTTGTCATTACTTATGACCATGGATGATTTAAGATTCAATCATATGTACTTTGTATCTCACAATCACAACTCATTGCGATTAACAAATTATTAATGTTTGAATATACGGACTCTATTATTTAATTCGATTGAATATTAATTAATTAAATAATAGATTTGTCATAAATTGCATTAACTATATATTAAAAGCGTTTATGTTCAAAGTCGATTGGACATAGGGTATAACACTTACAAACTCCCACTTGCACTAAATCCAATCACTTATGTATCTAATATCATAAGAGTTTTCATGACGATCATGTTTATATTGCGACAACTTTTTGTCAATGGATCTGTAATATTTTCAATTGTGGGAATTCATTTATTTCTGTATGTCATTTCCTTGAATTATCTATTTGATGAGATGATGGCTGGATCTCATCTGTTATATTAAGACCTTGAGTATACTCAACAAGCCTTAATAAAATATTTGGATAGATACTGTTATCAATTGTATCCCCATACAACTCTCATATCATTAAGACGACAACTCTTTGTCTTCACACATCTTATGTGTTAGTTTAACATGTCTCTAAAATTTATCTTCTTGAGTATACTCAATAAAAGATAAATTTTAGTTAAGTTGGACCCATCATTCAAAAATATTTAATATTTCATAGTATCAAACATATCCCTAATACACCAATATTGAGTGTACTCAACAAGTTGAGACAATTTGAGAATCTGATTTTTCACTATAATGATGGAAGTCGATCATAAATTGACTTAATATTTTATTGAGGGGTTTTGCATTCAAAGGTCTCATCGTAACAATCATATATATTTTATTATACATCTACCATACAAATAAATATATGTGTAATATAATAGTGAGGACGATTATGGACATTTACTATCTAATCTTCCTGAACCATAAGGAAGATCAGTTGGTCAATTCCTAGGGAGTATTGCATTGAACTAGTATCAATGCACCATCTCTGTAATCTCCTCTTCTTCTGGTTTCTTCAATTAGTCCAGCTGCAACCTATATCCTATACTTGTTGGCATGCAGGTATAAATGAAATTGGACTTGCAGGCCCATAATGACAATAACAATAACGGACTTGCAGGTCCAAAATAATTAAAAGCTAGCAAGCCCATAATAATAACGAGCTTACTTGCCCAAAATAATTAAGAGCTCATATGCTCATAAAATGATAAAAATAAAATTAATCATTCAATATATTTATATGATCGAGTCCATAATCGTCCACTAATAATACATTCATCACATAAATGTATGCCTATATAATATCTAATATTATATGCAAACACGTTTCAAGTTTCTAGCAATTAAGATCATATAAACTTTTTAGACAAATGGATCTGAATAATTAAATAATTAATTAATCATATTAATCAATTAATTTAATTATCGGACATATTCAATTAAAATCAAATTTTAATTAAATACCGAATTAGTGTCTATCTCTAATTCCACAATTATAGGGCGGGATTATTTAATTGAAAATAAATTTTAATTAAATATTAAATTAGAGTCTAACTCTAATTTTAAAATTTGCAGCAACTGAATTTTAACTAAAATCAAATTTTAGTTAAATAAAAAAATTAGAGTCCAATTCTAATTCCAAGATTTTAGGGCAAACTTATTTAATTAAAATCAAATTTTAACTAAATAACATATTAGAGTCCAACTCTAATTTTAAGAAAAGTTTTATGGCAAGACAATTTAATTAAAATCAAATTTTAATTAAATGTCAAATTAGAATCCAATTTTAACATCTAGAATATAATCGGGTGAATATTTAATTAAAATCAAATTTTACTTAAGTATTAAATTAGTGTCCGACTCTAATTAAATTGAATAATATTCTAATCTAGGATAACATTCCTAAATAAAATAAAATTCAATTAAGGGTCCAAGTTTAATATTTAAGTAAAAATCCAATTTTAACAAAATATAAAAATTCATCAATTTTAAATAAAACGTTAACCGGGTCAAAATTGAAATTTTGGGTCAAACCCGTTTGAAAATCAAATTTAAAACACTTCTAAATTTAAATTCAAAACACCTTAAAAATTTCAATCCAACCCAATTTTAAAATTAATAACAGGGCCTTTCAGTTTCGAAATTTGTAGACATGGCAACTTGACCCCTGACTTTAATTGGAAGCAGGGGGCTCATAATAAAAAATTGCACAAGAACCCCCCTTCTACAATTCACTAGAACTCGACTGTAAGCCTTAAAAAATTCATTTTTTTATTTTGACCGGCGCATCCTTTGGTTAGTGGCTGCACGTCGCCTTGTCACACAGTGGCGATGTGAGCCACCCTTAAAGCGGCTAACTGCTGCTGCAAGGAACAGCGGTCACGCTGCTTCAAGCAGTAGTGCAAATGTTGCTGTTACAGAGTCTAGCGACGATGAGTCATTGCTGCGTATTTGCTCAGTAGTGTGCTGCATAGCGACTTGCAACGCGCTGCCTCTACGAACAGTGGCGTTGTCACGTCGATCACCTCCCATCTTTAACCTTTTCAATCCGATTTAAATCATTTTTTTATTTTTTATTTTGGAAAAAACAGATTTCAAAATCATGAAAACCAATTTTTCTTAATTGCAAGATCCATGAAAAATAATAACAATCAACATTTGATTGTTCAATCATGCAAAATAATTTCTGACAAACACAAAGAAAGCTTTGATGCCACTGTTAGGAATCTACTTAATCATGTGCAATGGAAATTAATACAGATTTCGACTCCCACCAACGAAAATTATGATAGAAAATTGTACATTTGAAAAATTCTGTAAACATTTTTCTTTTCTTTTTGCTCCAGCAACTTTGATTTGTCACACACAGCTGTCCAATTGTCCAATCTCCAACAATGATCCACACAGAGAACAAGATTGTATATATATAGGCTTGGCCTGTTTCCTAACCTGTTCTAATATTTAACTAACATATTTAATTAAATCCGATCCGTGAATTAATTAATTCAATTAATTAATTTGACCCTATAAATAAGCAACGGAAAATTCTACATAGACATCACCCATTACAGAAAACTTGACAGAAATATGATGTGGCGATATTTATAATTCAAAAAAACGTCACTTAGGAACTTGGTCAAAATATCATTTCAATTGTTTGTTTTTAGATGTAATTACTTTTCCCAAAGACTCTTGCTCACTTTTCCCAAACACTCTTCCTGTCTCTCCAACCTACGAAATTTGTCTCTCTGTCTCTAACCCCAGATCTAGATCCGGCCAACAACGGTGACATAAACCAGTGGAGAGCTATTTCCTTCAAATCGCGGGTGAAGATCTATTTCTTTCGAATCATGGGTGAAGTCCTTCAAATCAAAAAGCTTTTTAGAAGAATTTACAGTGAAATTTTCATGAGAAAGCATTAATTTAGAGGATTAGATTGCTGGATTTGTTTACGAAGAAGAAACACACGGTCAATTCAGGGGCGGATCCAGCACCTGGCGAGCCGGCGCGGCCGCCCGTGCTGGATCCGTCGGAGAAAAATTTAGTGAAAGTTTATGTTAAATATTTATCTATATATGTTTTGTGCATAAGAGTCAACAAAATGGGCGGTAGACGCAGTGGTTGCGCTCTCACTTTTACATTAAAGAGATACCGCAGGTTCGAATCCCCTGCCCGGCACTACGCTGTTTAATTTTTGAAAAGAATAATTATATATTAATAAGAATTTGCACTGATCTGAGGGTTGCTCATTTGGTATAGAGTTCTTCTTTCCATGTAAATGGTTTGGGGTTCAATCCATATCCTTCCACTTTTTTGTTTACTTTTTTGTTACCATAAATAATAACTCAACAACTATAGTTTTCATTTTCAAAATAATTTCTTTAAAAATTTTATTAACTCAAAATATTATTTCATAATATAGATACATTTATCATTATGTTTAATCAATTTATTTTATGAAATTCAAATTTGGACAATTTAAGAATTGCTCTTTATTCTTTTAAGAGTTTGAAAAATAATTTTATTTTGGGGTAAAAAATAGTTCTAGTTCTACAAATCATTGTTTTCAAAATTTGGTTTTGGTGTTATTTTTTATTTATGACTTATAACTTATGAATAATGATTTATGTCCGATGATTTAATTGACAATTTGGCATTAAAATGAGAATTGTGAATATGTGGTTGGAAGAAATAATATATGTAGTACGAGTCCTTGACTTACGTGTTATAATTTATCATTTATGAGTTTTGATTTGTCATTTGGAAATTTATGTTTAGGAATTTAGGATAAGCGAAAAAAAAATCAATTGAGAAGATGTTGGGCTAAATTCAACCATGTATGCTTCGTTTTTTAATCAATTCTAATTAAAAAAAAATTAGGGCATTTTGCTGATTATTGAACGATTTTTTTAACCGAAACGAAAGTCCATATCTATTTATTCTAATTCTAGTAGTGTTTCTAATTCTTTTAGTTATAGTCCATATGATTTTTTGAATATTATTTAATTAAATATTAATAAACGACTTTGTTTCGCTATCACGGACATTGACAGTGAATGTTCAACATTCGCGGTTCGCCCTAGCTGAACTCAAAGCCTAAATTCGTCCCTGACGGTCATGATTTGAAGGAAATTTAGTCCGTGATTTTTTGAAGGTAATTCAGTTTTACTTTCATTTAAAAATTCAACACAATGATGATTTGCACTTGCACAGGTTTCTTCCATCAATTGGGGTACTTAAATTCCACATGGACATTGTTCTATTTTTCCATTAGGCTTTTTTTCCTTTCCTTTTAACATTGGCCTTGTTCAATTGAACTCTACACTTAGTAATTTTTTACATAGCCAATATTGATTTCGTTCTGGTTGCATTACATTTGTTCGATGGTGGCAGGAAGGAATAAATATAGCCAAGGAACATGACTATTCGGAGATTTCCCTCGACATAACTCTACGTAAGGATTAAAGAGATTCGAAAGACAACGAGAATGGAAAGAAAGGTGTCAATAAAATGTAGCATTGAACTTCGATGTAATTGGACAGTGATAATTGTATCTCTTTGTATTTGTATCTTGTATGGTTTTACATCGGTTGCACAATCTACTGTACCAATCGCCATTTATGAATCTATCCTATTTCCTCTCTTTTTTTTCTCTGTGTACTTCGTCTTTTACAAGAGATCTATGAGTTTCCATGTTGCCATTTTCGTAAACAACATTTATATCTGCACCACATTTAAGCACATCTCAAAACATTCATAAATTTGGCAAATCAGATTCCTAAACTTAAACTGAATGACATACTGAAATTACTTAGCCAACATCCATAAATTCAGCAAACTGAAATAGTATATGCAAAATACTTTCCCAAAATATTTGACCACATTCATAACACTGAATTCACTAAACACATAAGAGCTTAACTGATGCAAAATACTTGCACAAGTTTAGAAGCTTAATTTTTTTTTCAATCCAGCTAAAGTGAACAACGTGATATATTCAGCTGTCTCATGAAATTGATTTTGGTCCTAAAATTCAGAAACTCAGACGTCTCAACCTTCACTCGTGCAACGGAAAAATAGGTCTGTACATGCTCTCCCGTGTTTCGAAATCATGGGAAGAAGAATTCTTCGTCGTTTCGATGTCCTACGCATGTAACGAATAAGATTGACAACAAATTTTATGACGGGAGCATATCGTATGTATAATAGTATGCATTCAGTACCTCAACGTTGAACAGGGATGAAGCATTACTTTTTAGCTTTTTGCACATGTTCGAATTATTTGAGCTCGTGGGCACCTGTACGAAGATTCAAATGTAATAGATGAGTTTCAAAAAGACGAAATTGTAGTTGAACATATCTTAAAAATATTTCATACCTTATGCTTAGTTTTTCTCGAAGCAGCTTCAAAATGACATTTTCGACGAAATTTTTTAGGTGCTCCTTTAGTTCTCGAGGATTTTGGGTCTAAGATGTCTCCAACTACAATCTTTCCCGCTTCAAAGCATTGGGAGCCTACTTGATTAGACTTCGACGTCGCCATAATTGTTCGAGACTCAATCCACTCAGAAATGTCCTTACATTGTTCCTCGTTATGGGCTACCATGTTAGCTAATTTGGTAAATGCAAAACACAATTTCTCATATCTAACTTGATCAGGAATACTAATCCAACCATCATAATTGATTGGGACTCCGAGTATGGTCTGATCACATCTCTCTTCCATCTCTTCAATATATACTTCTCGGGTGATAATTTTACATCATTATGTATCAAAATTGTGATTGCATGCTTGTAAATAATTCCTCTAGATTCAAATAAGTGACAACTGCACTTAAAATCACATTTGTCCTTGTGAAAGGACTTTGAACTATTTTTTTCGTCGTACAGTCATTTAAAATGATGTCCTCACGTACTTCATAAATAGTTTGGAAGCATGACTCATGTGTAGATACAACTTCACAGTAAACCTTACCGGTAAATTGTTCTTGGAACTCTCTAAACTTCGTCATTGTATACACTAATTGGAATTGCTTCTCTAGTTCGTACCTTGTCGCACATGGGACCATTTGTGAAAATGATTTGAAATCGGCATGAAATTCCTTCTCAACTTTATTTCTCAAAGCACGCTCATATTGCTCCACGAATTGCTTTAGGGATGTTTTGGAATGAACGTATCCGTCAAAAAATGCATTCATGCTCTCACTTCGTACTTCATTGAGTGATTGACATACCGGTCCAAAATAAAGTTTTCAAAAAGCATGGTACCCATCGACTTCTCTCCTTGTATAGTCCAGTCGACCAACTATGTTCAAGCAATTCATAATCTTCAAGTATCTTACTCCAACCTTCCTCAAATTCCTCACAAGTTTGCATATCATACACCAAACTATGTACAGTCGAAAGAATAGAACCTCTATGTTTGTGCTTGCCGAATTTTTCTGGTAACTTCTTCAGTATATGCCATAAGCACCATCTATGTTTGGTTTTAGGAAAAATGATTTCAATTGCATTTTGTATAGCTCAATCTTGATCTGTTATTATTCCAATTGGAGCTTCACCATGCATACATTCAAGCCATATCCTAAATAGCCATACAAAAGTTCTTGTATCCTCATTCGAAACCAAGTCACACCCAAGTAGAGTTGATTGTCTATGATGATTAACCCCAACGAAAGGAGCGAAAGCCATATCATACTTGTTAGTCAAGTATGTTGTGTCAAACGTAACAACATCACCGAATTTCTTATACGCTTGTCTACACCTATTGTCTGCCCAAAACATGTTTCTTAGTTGAGCCTCTTAATCTAAATCTATGCTAAAATAGAAACCAGGACTACTTATTTGCATCTTCGAAAAATATGCTTGTATTGCAACGGCGTCTCCTTCACTAAGTCTTAATCTTCTCACTTTGTCAATGAAATTTCTACAATCTTTCTCAACACATGCAATGTTTTCATAGCCACCTGCTTCAACTACGACTGAATTAAAACTCTTGTGCAACGGAATACCAGCAATGTCATTTATTTCAAGATGTCTTTTCACATGTGCACTAATTTGGCGATTGCATCTATATAACCTTGATTTGGATGGGCTTGTGCTATGATTGTGCTCAAGATGGACCGTGTTAATACGCCATGTTCCACAAACGTCTCAACATGCTGTCAACCTGGCTTTACAACCAATTTTGATGGTTGGTTGAGGCTTCAGATAAGAACTTAAACTACTGGTTTGACGGTCTTCTCGACTACACGTAAAAGTTACATAACACACGATCCCATCATCACCTTTCTTCAAATTTCTTTTTCTCACAGGAAAACCAAGTTGGTAAGCATATTTCTTGTAAAATTCAAACACCTCATTTTCATCTTTAAACTTCATTCCAACACTTGGAACAATAATGTCACTCTCTTCTCTTTTCTCATTCGCATTACCATCATCGGATGATACAATATCTAAATATCCTGCATAATGAAAACGTACCACAATCAATTCTCATTTTGGCAGAAAGATGAGAACTAGATTTCTCCATAACACAAATAAATTTTGCCCAATTTATTCATTTGAACAAGATGAAAATCAGAATAAATTTTCAAGACCAGAGGTACAATGAAGACATTACTGGGCATCTAGTACTCTTCCAAGTGGTTTTCTAATGGCTTCCTTGGTAAATTTGTTTTAGATTCCAACAATGTATAGTTTTCAGTTTTTACTTCGAAAATACACTCCTAAAGCACTCATTCATATAAATATTCAAACAAATTGAACAATTTAATTGAAAATTAGAAAGAATAAATGTTACCTATGCTCTCGTTGGATTTGAAGTCAACCCCGTCGGAGCTTCCTGCTTCGATTTTATTTTCATATTCGTAATGACTGGGGTTGTTTTCCACAGCAAATGATTGGTGTATTAATGTCGGGCTCCCACCCGGGTCGATGCCGGTATCAAAGTTTCATCAATGTTCTCGACGACGTCGAATGAATTTTTTTGTCCTTCCGTTTCGTTCATTTCATTCATCTCCAGGTTTGAATTGGGTCTAGAAATGTCAGGGAAAATGGATGGGTTAAAAAAACAAATTGGCCACCTTTTCCTTTTCCATTTTTAGGCGGGATTTTGACAAATCTTGACGTGAAAATCTCGCCACGTCAGCCTCTGTAACCCTTTAGGTAATGCATGATGTTTGCGTAGCAAGACTCATAAGCAACCTAATTAATTAATTTATCCAACTCTTGTTAAATTAATTAATTGATAGATCACAATCTTCCAGTTCTTCTTTTGTGTGTGACCCATTAGGTTCTCGATCACGATATCTAATAACGTGAAATATTATTTTGATTTGATCAAAATTGATAAATTAAAACACCCTTTTTATTTATCACAAATTCACACTCATCGTCCCAAATTGACATCTAGCAATGTGTCATGACAATATATGTGACGGAAAATATCACGTGGTATAATAAAATCAAACTCATTCGTTTATCGTGAAACTATAATCCCTTCGTCAATATGATCCGATCAATTACACGATATGGAAGTGTATCAATCTCAATTATCAATCATATTTTTCACACCACTATTAACTCAATATAAGTCAAAAACTCTTTTTCGACTTCTGAGTACACCTTGGCCAAGGATTTTGCTGTCGACTTAGTTGAATGAAATGCAAATCATAATTTCTTACTATCTAAAAGTGACAAATCCTCTATTGGTCATTCACAACTTTCATATGATTCTTGACATACTCGAACGATGCCGTGTTAGCGGCTCTTGGTAGAGTAACATCCAACACCATCAAAGCATGACTGTCCTCATATAAGGTACTATGACAACCTTAAGTCAAATGACCAATCCCACTACCGATCGTTAGAGATTAACCACTAACACTCAGATAGTTATCCATGTGAAATCTCTCAGCGAGTTTTCAATGTTTTGTTCTACAACATAACATCCACATATTCATGCAAGTGTCACTACACTTAAACTTGTGAGATTAGCTACTTACTTCACAAGTAAGAAATATCACATGTGATGGTCTATCCATAATAACGATATTCGGATCTTGTCATTACTTACGATCATGAATAATTTAATATTCAATCATATTTAATTTGTATCTCATAATCAAAACTCCTTGTGATTAACAAATTATTAAGATTTGAATCTACGGATTTCATTATTTAATTTGATTGAATATTAATTAATTAAATAATAGATTTGTCATAAATCACATCAACTATATATTAAAGCGTTTATGTCCAAAGTCGATTGAACTTAGGGTGTAACACTTACAACTGTGACATTTCAAAAACTAGTTTTTTGAAGAAGGTAGCAAAGTCAAGTGTGAGAAGCCTTTTGACCTCAAAATTCGGCCAACAAAGTCTCGACCACCTCCCTGTCCGTTTAAACATCACCCACACGTTGGTACACACAATTAGGGTGCAAAGGTCACTGAACAAGAAAAATGTCAGGCGACCGTTCCAACAGTCAAGTCAATTGTCAGGAGGAAAAAAAACATAAGTACAAGATAGAAAGATGGAAAGGATTTGACTAGGGTTTAGAATGCTTACCTTGAGTGAAATGAACTCTCTCTCTCTCTCTCTCTCTCACACACACCCACCCACACCCACACCCACACACACACCCCAA